GCTCCTTTCCCCTTTATTCCCTTTCACTATTATTTATATTCCCCAAATGAATGAGACCATATAATGTTTGTACTTCTCCGATTGACTTATTTCACTCAGCATAATACCCTCCAGTTCCATCCACCTCGAAGCAAATGGTGGGTATTTGTCATTTCTAATGACTGAGTAATATTCTATTGTATACATACACCACATCTTCTTTATCCATTCATCTTTCGATGGACACCGAGGCTCCTTCCACAGTTTGGCTATTGTGGACATTGCTGCTAGAAACATCGGGGTGCAGGTGTCCTGGCGTTTCATTGCATCTTATCTTTGGGGTAAATCCCCAGCAATGCAATTGCTGGGTCATAGGGCAGATCTCCTTTTAACTCTTTGAGGAACCTCCACACAGTTTTCCTGAGTGGCTGCACCAGTTCACATTCCCACCAACAGTGCAAGAGTGTTCCCTTTTCTCCGCATCCTCTCCAAAATTTGTGGTTTCCTGCCTTGTTAATTTTCCCCCTTCTCACTGGTGTGAGGTGGTATCTCATTGTGGTTTTGATTTGTATTTCCCTGATTCTCCCAGGGACTCTTGATTAAGTTTGGGTGTTCCTATGGCTCCTTAGTCACGCGTCATCAGGCTCATCTCTTGGATCCCTCTTAAAAATACTTGATCTCATCCATTACACTTGTTGCTATTGTTCTTTAGTGCATTTAATAAAGATGTGCATGTATAACTATTACAAGTTTGGGAGGTGTACTTTTTTATTGTGGAAAAAATATGCATACAATTTACTATTTTAATACTGTTTAGGTGTATATCATCCATTACATTTTTTTTCCTGTTAGAAAAAGGAAAAGACATGTCCCATATTGATGGAGAAGTGGCTTATAATATGAAATCATACCATGACAGAAAAAAACAATGAAGATCGTGAAGGCTCCTAAAACCATTTAATGAATTGGACTTGAAGCAAATTTATGTTACCTTGAATATTCAAAACTATCTAAAACTATTTACCATTCTTTACAATATTATGATGTTGAGAAACAGAACTTTGGGGCACCTGGGTGGCTCAGTAGGATAAGTATCTGCCTTCAGCTCAGGTCACGATCCCGGGGTCCTAGGACTGAGCCTGGTGTCAGGCTCCCTGATTGGCGAGGAGTCTGCTTTTCCCTCTCCCTCTACCCCTTGGCCTGCTCATGCTCTCTCTCACTCGCTCTGTCTCAAATAAATAAAATATTTTTTTAAAAAAGAATCTTATAGATAAGTGACCATGTTCCTACCTCAAAAACAAGTTTTATGGTTTGACAGATTTTTTTTGATATGGTTATGACTGTAATGGCAATCTAAGAGCTGTAATTTCGATGCAAAAATATTCAAATTCCTGGAATATTTTCTTGAATCAATAGGACAAATTCTAAAATGTACAGCAATATGGTCTATCAATCTGTCCCACACTGTGGTTGACAGTAGAAACTGGCATCTTGCAGATGGAATACAGTTTAGCAACAGGTATTCAGCCATTCATTCAACAATTATTTATTGAGTTGCATACTGCATGCTGGCCCCTATTCTAGGACCTGGATATATAACAATGAATGAACAGATAAAATGCCCTGACCTTACAGTTGAGTAATGCAGCTAATTATAACCACTGACTCAGTACTTCCACTTCTAGAAATTATTTCTAAAGAAGCAATTGTAAATATACAAATCATTTAGTTAGGGAATCTGGGGTGGCTCAGCGGTTTTGCACCGCCTTCAGCCCAGGGCCTGATCCTGGAGACCCGGGATGGAGTCCCACGTCGGGCTCCCTGCATGGAGCCTGCTTCCCTCTCTGCCACTCTCTCTCTCTCTCTCTCTCTCTCTCTCTGTGTGTGTGTGTGTGTCTCATTAATAAACAAAATCTTTAAAAAAATGATTTAGTTATAAAGATGTTTATCATGTTGGATTTATAATAGTAAGAAACTTAAAGTAGCTTAAATGGCCAGTAAATCATGATACAGCTCTATTAAACAATACCAGGGTCATTAAAACAATGTCAGAAAAGAACATTCCAAAAAAAAAGAGAGGGCAGCCCCGGTGGCACAGCGGTTTAGCGCTGCCTGCAGCCCGGGGTGTGATCCTGGAGACCTGGGATCGAGTCCCATGTTGGGCTTCCTGCATGGAGCCAGCTTCTCCCTCTGCCTGTGTCTCTGCCTCTCTCTCTCTCTCTCTGTCTCTGAATAAATAAATTAAAAAAGAGAGAGAGAACATTCAAGCAAAAGAATGATATTCACAAGGTATTATCAAGTTATAAAACAGACTACAACTGCTCAGAGCCATGAGAAAACTTTATGGGGTTGTTCTAGAACCTAATTATGGTGGTAGTTGCACAAGTATAGATTTTTTAATGAAAATCTGTCAAACTGTACACTTAAAATGGATGAATTTAATTATATGTAAACTATACCTCAATGACGCTGTGAAAAAAGAAGGCAGAAAGCAGTTCTAAAACTATTTTAACTTAAAAGTGACTTCTGTAAATATATTAGAAAAAAAAGAGTGGAAGGATACAAGCCAAAGAGTTTAATGGGTTAAATTAAGGATGGAATGGTATAGTTTCTTTTTTTTCTTTTGTCTAAATGTTCTACAATAAACATGTATTTATTTTGCAATAAGAAAGAACCACAAAGTCTATTTAAAGTTGTTAAACCAGCTTACTCAATTATCTAGGGCTGCTACATGTTCTGTGAAACTTTCGGGAGAACAAATTAGGACACCCTTCTCCACCTTTCAGTTCCAGAACACATGCTTACACAGACCAGTATTTCCACTGATTGGAACTCAAAGGAAAGCATGAAATAATTAACTACCCATGCCCCAGGTTGACGCCCAAGGCCATAATTCAGTCTGAGTGTTCTTAACCTTTCCAGGCTTTGAACCCGTGCCACCCAGCTAGAAGAGCTCCTGCAGCTCACCAGCAGAGGGACCCCATAGGTCCCCTGAGAAGTATTGCTGAAGATACAGTTTAGTATATAGTCTGATATAAAAAGGACTCAACAGCCATGTCTTCCAAATTTCTTCAGAAAAATGCTTTTGGGTGTTTCAAAATTCAGAGAAAAATAAGTTTTACAGGTCAACCAACTAATTCTATAAAAGTTAGGTTTAGGATACTTTTACCACATTTTGTCAAAAGGGCCCAAGTTGTTTGACATTTTAAATGACTGATTATTGGAACTAATATAGTAAGTGACTTCAAGTGAAAACAGAGTGAATGCTATGTGAGGAAATATGCAGTGGGGCTGTTGACTGGGAGCATTAACAGCTTTTGGTGTAAGAAGAAAAAAGCATGTAGAAGAGACAAGATGCCAAGAATAAATATAAAGCAACCACTATATCAAACAATTGGCCTTGAGAAAAAAAAAATCCTTGTACTTGCTTTTTGGAAAGGAGGTTTTGTTCAAATGTTTCAGAAGACCATGAGCATGGCAGAAGTGCTTTCAAATAAAGTACAAGTTCTTTACTATCTTATCTTCTCGACTCACTCCCATATTTTTCTTTGTGATTAGGGAGGGTTTAGGGCTTGTTCGTATTTCTTTTCTGAGAAAGATTACAGAATCGCGCAGAGCTCCCTTCTGCCTGTGGAAAGAATCTGCAATGAAAATAAATGATCACTGGTTACCAGTGTGCCGGCTAGTACTGTTCCACTTAAAAAACTAACCCTTTCCTTAACTTCTTTCAAATGGTAGTCGTTACTCCCCTGGAACTCTTTTCAATTAACCTTGTATGGACAGGGTACTTTCTTCTAGATTCTTTTGAGAATCCATCTATAGTAATTATCGAAATAGAAATGGAAGGCTGAAAACGTATTAATCTAACCAACTATGTGCATTATATTACAATGCAGATTGTGTGAGCAAGCTCGGGTATGGGTAATTCCAAAAAGTAAGTGGTTACAGATTATGTATTTATAGGGGCGCCATGTGGCTCAGTGGGTTAAGCATCTGCCTTCCGCTCAGGTCATGATCTCAGGGTCTACTTCTCCCTCTCCCTCGTTCTCTCTCTCTAATAAGTAAATACAAAATTAAAAAAAAAAAAAAAAACAGAAACAAGGGATGCCTGGGTGCTGGCTCAGTGGTTGTGCATTAGGTTCAAGTCCTAGGATCATCCCACATCGGGCCTCCTGCATGGAGCCTGCTTCTCTATGTCTCTGCCTCTCTCTGTGTGTCTCTCATGAATAAATAAAATCTTTTAAAAATATATCTTTAAAAATTTATATAAATTAACCGCAGGTTCTCAGAATTCATTCTATAGCCTTCCCCAACAGAAACATCTTTTTTTTTTTTTCAGAGCTTTCCACACTATAAAAAGCTGAATATAAAAGCTGTAAAACTCCCCTATTTCGTCAGCCAGTTTGCAATCTTGCTCAAATTCTTCTGCCATCAGGTCTACTATGAGACTGCGCACCCTTAATTCTCAAAGTGATTCAAGACGCTTCCTGTCTTAAAACTTGAGGGATGGGGACGCCCGGGTGGCTCGACGGTTTAGCGCCGCCTTCAGCCCAGGGCGTGATCCCGGGATCGAGTCCCACGTCGGGCTTCCGGTATGGAGCTTGCTTCTCCATCTGCCTGTGTCTCTGCCTCTCTCCCTGTCTTTCGTGAATAAATAAATAAAATCTTAAAAAAAAAAACAAAACTTGAGGGAAACTAGCGAACCTGTTAGAGGGCCCAAGCACAGAGAGGAGGCTCAAGCCTAATGTCTCCCACTTTCCTGACGGCCTGCACCGTCACCAACACCTTTTCGGGGTGGAGGGAAAAGCCGGCTCTGACCAATTCCGCGGCCACGTGCCGGGTCCCCAGAGCGCGCTACCCCGCCCCAGAGGCGGAGCTCGAGCTCCAACCCCGGCGGGGCCCTTCAGAGCCGCCCCGCCCCGCCTCGCCTCGCTCTTTTCCCGCCCAGACCCCGCGACTTCCGGAGGGGGCGTGGACTCGCAGGAAGTTCTCGCGTTACCGAAAGGGAGGCACATCCGGCTCCGGTGTCATGGCTGACCCTTATCCTGAGTGCGAGCTGGCTGCGGTCGGTGAGAAGAGGCAGCAGTTTGGGAGCAGATTTCTGAGCGATCCGGCGCGCGTCTTCCACCATAATGCCTGGTAACCGCCCTGCCCCTCCCGGCCTGCGGCTTGCCCTCCGTCCCGCCGCCCCGTACGCTCTGAGAAGCCCCTGACCGCCGGCCACGAGTCCCGCTGCCCTGCTCGAGGCGCTCTCCTTCCACGGGAGAGGCCCTGTGGGGCCAGCGACTCACCCCGCTCGCAGCTGGAACGTGAGGCCCCTAAGCTGCTCGTTTGATTTTCCCAGGGACAATGTGGAGTGGTCGGAAGAGCAGGCCGCCGCGGCGGAGAGGAAAGTCCGGGAGAACAGTACCCAGCGGGTGTGCCAGGAGAAGCAAGGTGCGCCCAGGTGTGGACCCTCAATGGTAGCAGCAGCCAGCGTGCCAGTGGACGCGCTTTCCCCTAGAGGCCAGAGACCGAGACCGCCAAGAGCCTTTGTTACCGGACTGATACCGAACTCGGGGGTGGGATGGGAGGGTCAGGGGATGGGTAAGGATGGCAAAGGGCTTCACCCAAAATCTTATTAGAGCAAAGAGGGACTTAGATTTTGGCTTTATTCGAGAGGGAGGAACTGTATCCTGATGTATTTTCTAGCGGATACATTTTTAGTTAGGTCGACTAGACCCATATTAATAGGACTGGCCTGTGGCAGCCGTGTGGTCACGTAATCAGCTTAGAGGCTGTGCTTCCCGTGATTACACTCCGGCTAAAGAAATGTCACTGAAGCTAGATTCTAGCGACCAGATTCTAAATATCGTTGGGGGAGGGAGCTAACTATGGTGAATTATATGTCTTTTTCTTGGATGATGGCTATGAGGATTTAGGGCTTCGTCCAAGGAAAGCTGGGTGAAGAGGAGTGTATGTAGGTAAGCCTGGCCAAAGTCAAAGAGACCCCTTTCTGGAGAGGTGGATGATTTCACTGCAAAACATCTCTAAGTACTAAAACTAAGACTGGCAGGTCCTATGTCCTAAAAGACCATTCAAAGCAGGACTAGAAATTGGGAGAGTGGTATCCCACAGTTCACGGTAACAATTAGAAGATTCCACTTACAAAATATTCACCCGACATAGTTTGACAGAGACTAGTTCAAGGCAAGTTAGAGCTGAAAGGGATTTTGAAAATCATGTAGTCCAATATCCTCTTTTTACAGTTAAAGAAACTTGGACCACAGGACATTAAGTGCCTTACCCAGAGGTAAGCAGTTAGTTAGTAGTAGGAGTGGTGGAACTAAAATCCAATTTGTTCGATTTTTGTTCTCTTTTACTACACTAATCAAAGCCCTGTATTGGCAAAGAGCAGAAAACTGAAGTCTGGGACTGCTGGCTGCCTTGATGGCCTTAAACTACGATGGAAGCAGTCTACCCTTAAGTCTCTCCTGTTGTCTCTCATCAGAACTCTTCTCACCTGAAGACATTTTTCCCTCTTGTCTCTGTTTTCTCCTTTCCTTTTAGCCTTATTTCTGTTTTTAGGATCTTTTAGTAGTATTAAATTCATTCCTTAGCTCTACTTTCGATAAGACCCACAGGCAGAGGAGTGTATATAAAACAAAAAAGCTGCATGTATCATAATCATTGAGTTCACATGGGGAATGACTGAAGAACCTGGTGCGTTTCACCTGTAAAAGAGAAGGTTTAGCGGTGAAAATAACTGCATAACCGCCCTTAAATCAAAAGAGTTGTTCTGTATGGCCCTAAGAAAGTAGGACTTTTTGACCAGGAGACAGACTTTCTGCTTAATGTTAGAATTTTTTTTTCTCTCTCTCTCTCTTTTTTTTTTTTTCCTTAATGTTAGAATTCTCTAATAGCTAAGAGCCACCCAAAAACGTGGGTGGAGAATTGGTAGTAAGTTCCCTGGTAAAAGTTCCTCCTAAGAAGGGCAAGATACAGAGGAAATTTATGTAGGGTAGGTGGTAGAACTCAGAGATTTCCAGTTCTGAGGTTATGGCTCTACTTGAGGATACTTTTACTATAAAATGACATTCAGTGAAGCAGGATGACGTTTGACATCAGGGACAGATAAGTATTGGGAGATGGTTTTTTAAAATTCTTTCTTTAATATTTACAGTTGATTATGAGGTCAATGCCCACAAATATTGGAATGAATTCTACAAAATCCACGAAAATGGATTTTTCAAAGATAGACATTGGCTTTTCACTGAATTCCCAGAGTTGGCACCCAGCCAAAACCAAAATCACTTGAATGATTTGCTCCCAGAGAACAAGAGGAGTAAAGTACCTGAATGTAGAAGCAATGAGGATGGACCTGGCTTACAAATAGAAGAACACAAGTGTTCTTCGAATAGCCTTGGACATAAAATGCAGATGCCTCCTGTGGAAGAAAACGTAACTCAGAAACTCAGTCACCTGGAAATCTGTGTGGATGAGTTCCCTGGGTCCTCAGCTACCTACAGAATACTTGAGGTAACTCCCCTTTATTGTCCTGATAGTGGGATTAATGTGGCTGTTGTATTGTACATGTGGATAGTGCAGAGAGGCTGACCACAAGTGATTGTGTCTGAAGAAGCTGACTAGACTTGACTCATGTTGGCTTGGAAACCCCTTGATTTTTGAACGAATGACATGTCTTAAATTCAAACCAGATATCTGGTGGGTGTGGCAAACAAAGATATTACCTGAGGTGTTACTTGGAAACATCCTGTTGTATCTGAACATTGTAGAATTGTGCTATACCTGCCACCTGAAAAGAGTCCCGAGTCAAAAGACAGATTCTTTTACCTCTCTTGTAATATAGGATGGAGGGGAGGGGTTAGTTGGGTTGGTGCCTGCTTCTCAGGCATGGGGGAGTTCATGTCTTCCTAGTTTGGATGGTGTTGCTGAGGTAAAGCTAGACCTGGAAACGTTGTCTGGGTGGGTACTGTGATGCAGATTTACAAGTGGTGACTGCACCCGACTGGAAGCTCGCCTTGGGGTTCAGTACTCTAGCCTGACCTTGTTATAGCCCCCTCCCCTCCGCAAACAGAAGAGGACCTCTGCCTCGTAGTTATGAGAATTACATACATTGAGATAATGATGTAATATCGCTAAAAATAGTGTCTGGCATGTAGTAAGCCCTTAGTAAATGGTTACTGTCTTTTTTGGGGGGTTGGGTTTTTTTTTGTTTTTAAAGATTTATTTTGGAGAGAGTTTGTGAGAGCAGGAGGAGGAGCAGAGGGAAGGGGAGATAATCTCTAGCCGACTCTGCACTCAGCGCAGAGCCAACCGCCCCAAATAGTCACTGTTCTTAGTAGCACCTGGTTGAGGATAATGTAATCCATGGTTCCTTTTTTTTTTTTTTTTTAAGATTTTATTTTTTTATTCATGAGAGAGAGAGAGAGAGAGAGGGGCAGAGACACAGGCAGAGGGAGAAGCAGGCTCCATGCAGGGAGCCTGACGTGGGACTCGATCCCGGGACTCCATCCTGGGTCTCCAGGATCATGCCCTGGGCTGAAGGTGGTGCTAAACCGCTGAGCCACCCGGGCTGCCCCCATGGTTCCTTTTTCATGAATTTTTTCACTTAGCCTATGAAACACATTTTTCCAATAATAAAGTGCAGTTCAGGGATCCCTGGGTGACTCAGTGGTTTAGCACCTGCCTTTGGCCCAGGGCGTGATCCTGGAGACCCGGGATCGAGTCCCACATCGGGCTCCCGGCATGGAACCTGCTTCTCCCTCTGCTTGTGTCTCTGCCTCTCTCTCTCTCTCCATGTCTATCATGAATAAATAAATAAAATCTTTAAAAAATATAAAGTGCAGTTCAGTAAGAAAATGTTTCATCTATCCTCTCTTCTCTGCACTGGGAGTAGCTCTTTCTGTCACACCCCCTTGTCACTAAAATGGACACATATGCAAAGTTCTTCACCTCTTTCTTGGTCAGGAGCACTTCTCAGTTGTTGAGCTGATCACTGTCTGCAGTGGTGCTAAAACCACCAGAGACACTGACAGATGAGAGCCTCAGCTTGGCAGCCCCATGTCCCCTGACCTCACTTATTAATAGCCACAGCTTTGGAACCCAGGCCATTTCAAGGGACATCGACACAGCAGCCAAGTTCATTGGGGCTGGGGCTGCCACAGTAGGGCTGCCTAGCTCCAGGGCTGTTTGGGAGCCTCATCTTTGGTTATGCCAGGAATCCCTTGCTGAAGCAACAGCTCTTCTACATCATTCTGGGCTTTGCCCTGTAGGAGGCCATGGGGTTGTTTTTCCTGATGGGGGCCCTTCTCATCCTCTTTGCCATGTGAAGGAACCATTTCCAACTCCTGTAGGTCTTTCTATGTCCCATCTGCCCTGGATGCTCCTTTCTCTATACCTCCCCAGGCAGCCTGGGGAAAGTGGTTGGCTTGGGGTTTGACAAAGGGAAGACAAAGAAATGCTGTATTAATAAGAAAAGAAAAAGGGATGCCTGGGTGGCTCAGCATTTGGGCATCTGTCTTTGGCTTGGTGTGATCCCACTGTCCCAGGATCAAGTCCCACATCGGGCTCCCTGCATGGGGCCTCCTTCTCCCTCTGCCTGTGTCTCTGCCTCTCTCTCTTTCTGCGTCTCTCATGAATAAATAAATGAAATCTTAAAAAAAAAATTTTTCATTGTTAGGACTATTTGCTAAAACTCAAAAAGTAAAAGCAATTCATGCCCCTTTTTTTCCACAGCAGCTCCTTTGTGCTGCTGAGAGCCCATGCTCTTGTCTTTTATGGCTCCCCCCACTTCAGACTTCCTGAGATCAAAGTCAGGGTATGTCATGGGTACTGTTTAGCTCTGGTCTCTGCACTTTCCCTGCTAATACAATGAAACAAGATTATCTACTGTTGATTATTTATCTAGCTCTAGGGAATTAATTCTTTGGAACGTTCTGTAACTAAAAGTTCATTTTTGTCTGCAGGTTGGTTGTGGTGTGGGAAACACAGTCTTTCCGATTTTACAAACTAACAAGTAAGTGTGTTGTAAAGTTAAACTGTAGGACAGCAAAGAGGAGAAAGGGTGTGTGGTTTCTCAAAACTGCAGCAAACTGATAATAGTGGTTATTGGGAATGCTGGGGATAGGAGATGATTTCTGTTATCCGTTAATGATTTGATTGAATTTGATTTCTCAGTTACCTTTGTCATCAGGAAAACTAATGAGCTTCAAAACCTATTCCACTGTTAATATGTGGTCCCTTTGATATTTTAATTCTGCTATACAGGAGAGAGAACAGACATAATTCAGTTTGTAGTCTTAATTGTGCTACTGTTTTTTCTGTTCATTTCAGTGACCCAGGACTCTTTGTTTACTGTTGTGATTTTTCTTCCACGGCTGTGGAACTGGTCCAGGTAAGTGCAATGGCTCCTATCTGTAATTTTCACTGATTAAAGGGGAAATGGTTTCCTAAAATTCAAGGTTTTTAGCACTTTTGTTTAAATTTCTTATTCTTATGTGGTCTGAAAGTAAAGGATTTCCTGAAACAGCTGGGAGTAGAGGAAAGAACCAAACATGAACATGGAACCTGTTACTGGCCAGCTATGGAACTTTGGTTAGGTGTCCTGACCTTTCCAAACTTAGATTTTATGGATTAAAATGAGATTTTTTTTTTTTTCTAGTCAGGGTTCTTTGAGTTACAAGTCACAGAAACATCTACACAAACTCAACCAATGAAAGAGACAGTCATAGAACCCAAAGGCATAAAGTGTAGCCAGGGCTGTCACTCTGCCCTGAAAAGGTGGCAGATACCAAGGCAAGTTGGCTAAGCTGATAAGATGTTGCCACCCTCTCTTCTTCCTATCACAGTACCTCCCTCAAGCTCATGGTTTCCTATCTCTCATAGCCCAGAGCCCATTTGTCCTTTGTCTGCAGACCAGCTTTCTGTAATAAGTTTTTCATGTGACCTCCAACATGGCTTGCCCCCTTACAAGTCCACCTGTTCAGGCATTCTCAGAACCTCACCAGAATTACTTATTGTCCTTCCAAAGTCCCCAGAGTCTGACCCAATCCAAAACTTGCTCTGTTTTAATTAGCTGTGGTCAGTGAGCAACAAAGTCATTTTTGGGGAAGAGAGATACGGAAAGAAAAATTACCCTAAAATGTGTCTAATCATGTCTAATGCTTATAGTACAGGGGCTCTGGAATTGGTAGTTCCCTGTCTTTCTGGAGTGAATTACTTTTATAGATCTAGACCAGGTGAATACTGAGGCTTATTTTTAATTAATTATATTTTTTCTTTAATTTTTTTTTGTTTTTTTAAGGATTTTATTTATTTGAGAGAGCATACACGAGTGGGGTGAAGGCTAGAGGGAGAAGCAGTCTCCCCAGTCTCCCCTCTGAGCAGGAAGTCCAATGCAGGGCTCAATCCCAGGACCCCAAGGTTGTGGCCTGAGCCGAAGGCAGACACTTAACTGACTGAGCCACCCAGGCACCCCAGGAGTTGTTTTATTTTTTATTTTGTTTTAAAGATTTTCTTTATTCATGAGAGACAGGGAGAGAGAGAGAGAGAGGCAGAGAGAGACACAGGCAGAGGGAGAAGCAGGCTCCATGCAGGAAGCCTGACGCAGGACTTGATCCCAGGTCTCCAGGATCAGGCCCTGGGCTGAAGGTGGCGCTAAACTGCTAAACTGAGCCACCTGGGCTGCCTTCCCCACCCACCCCAATCCCAGGAGTTAAGTCCTGCTTTAGGGCAGCCCAGGTGGCTCAGTTTAGCAGTTTAGCACCGCCTTCAGCCCAGGCCCTGATCCTGGAGACCGGGGATTGAGTCCCACATCGGGCTCCTTGCATTGATGGAGTCTGCTTCTCCCTCTGCCTGTGTCTCTGTCTCTCTCTCTCTCTCTCTCTCTCTCTCTCTCTCATTAACCAATCAATCATGCTTTAAATATTAGTATGTTTTGTCTCCTGATGAGATTTTTCTTCTTGTGGTCACTTACCTTCCCGATCACTTTCCAATCTTCAAATCTAACTCTGTACATCACAGTAAAAAATAAAATATAGAAGAATCAAGAACATTCCTTTTTTTTTTTTTTTTTTAAAGAGAGGGTGAGCATGAGAGGAGGGTATGGGGATAGAGGGAGAGAGACGGAGAAAATCCTAAGTAGGTTCACACCCAGCATGGAGCTCAATGCGGGACTCAGTCTCACAACCCTGAGATCATGACCTGAGCCAAAATCAGGAGTCAGACACTTAACTAACTGAGCCACCCAGGTGCCCCTCATTCATTTTACTTAAAAAATTTTAATTTAAGTAAGCTCTGTTTTCAACGTGGGCTTGAACTTACGACCCTGAGATCAAGACTTACATGGTCTACCCACTGAGCCAGCCAGGTGCCCCAAAAACATTACATTTTATTTATTTATTTATTTTTAGAAGCGAATATCTTCTTTTTTTCTTTTTTTTTTCTTTTTTTTTAAGATTTTATTTATTTATTCATGAGAGAGAACGGCAAAGACACAGGCAGAGGGAGAAGCAGACTCCATGCAGGGAGCCTGATGTGGGACTCGATCCCGGGACTCCAGGATCACGCCCTGGACCAAAGGCAGGCACTAAACCGCTGAGCCACCTGGAGATCCCAAACATTACATTTTAAAAGTACCAGTTGGGGCACCTGGCTTGCCCAGTGGGTAGGGCATGTGACTCTTGAACTCAGGGTCATAAGTTTGAGCCCCGTGTTGGGTGCAGAGATAATATAATCTTTTTAAAAATAAATATCATAAAAATACCAGTTAGATTCCACAGGCTCCTCCCTGGAATTGTTCAACATTCTGGGCCTTTGACTAAGAATACATGCCTTCATGATTAGAATGATAACCCTCAGCGGACAGTAGCAGCAGTTACACTTAACACAAGATAAGCTTTCCCTAAGGCTGTGTGAACATTTTCTTTTGTGTGTGTGTGAACATTTTCTAACCTATGTGACTTTCAACTGTCTGCAGACAAATTCAGCATATGATCCTTGTCGGTGCTTTGCCTTTGTTCACGATCTATGTGACGAAGATAAGAGTTACCCAGTGCCCAGGGATAGCCTTGATATCATCATCCTTATATTTGTTCTTTCAGCGGTTGTTCCAGACAAGTAAGTTTTAGGTCCTTTAACCAATAGTGTAACAAAAACAAAGCTGAGATCAGGGACCTTGATCCCAGAGTTGGACCCTAAGTGAGTAGGGTGATCTGATAGGCAGGGGGAAGCCACTCTTATCAGAGTGATGGCAGTATCTCGGCCCTTTTCCTAAATCTGTGTGCCTCTAAACCTCTGCCAGTTGATTGCAGTGAGTGGGTTGGCTTTTCGATGCTGTGGTTGAACATCCGCCAGGAACGGGAGCACTGTCTCTAGTGCATGTGGGGGCGTCCCCTGCTGATAATCTCAGCATGCTGTTTTAGAACAGTGGGTGCACAGCTGTTTGGTACCATCCCCTCATTGGTTTTTTTTTTATTTTTATTTTAAGCTATTTCTAAGTAATCTCTTCACCCAACATGAGGCTCAAACCTACAACCCCGAGATCAAGAGCCACACACTCAATCAACTAAGCCAGTCACTTGGGCTTTTTAAATGCTTTCAGTAAATCAGGCTTATTCACAACACAGAATTTACAGTGAAGCTTAACTCAGATGTTCCTTTATGTTTAAGCTCTTCAGAAAACTGCAGTACTGGGGAATTCCATAAAATCAAGTTTAGGTGAAAGGAAAGTCCTTTGCTGAACCCTGCAAGATACTGTTAAAAGTTGCTTAGATGTGGGCAGCCAGCTGTCCTAATGAGATACTGTCCTCAGGAAGCAGTGTCAGCTAGAGACCTAGGGGAATGATTGTCTCTGTCCCACATTTCCTTGAGGAGAGCACTGAGTCATCTGACCTGACGGTATTATGAGTTGTGTGTACATAAAGGCAGGTGCAGGCCAGCCCAAAAGGCCAGGCATGGTTCTAAACTTTCAGAACTGCAGAAATCTCGGGGCGCCCAGCTGGCTCAGTTGGTAGAGCATGCGACTAGATCTCAGGGTCATGAGTTCAAGCCCCATGTTTGGAGGATAGAGATTGATTGATTGATAAAATATCAGTAGAAGTTTAAACGCTACAAACTTAAAAACTGATGTGACTGAAACAAATCAATAAATTAAACTCTTTATTCTGTATTTAAGCAGGTGTTGTAGCACTTATACTTCTGAGGTTAGTACAGCTAAAACCTGCACTTGTGTGTGCAGAGTGCAGTCAGAATGTAAAGCGCTCTGCCCGTGGCACTCATTTGCATACTGACTCACCATGTAAATTGTAAGTTCTTAAAGTTTCGTCTTCACTTAACAAATGGAAAGATACAGTCTCTGCCTTCAAAGCGCTCAGGCCTGGGGGGCAGGCAGATGAGTCAGCTAACTAGCTAGTCTGCACCACAAGTTTTCAGGGTTGTGCTCCGAGAGCCCTGGGAGCACAGGGCAGGGATGGCTTCCCCATGAGATAATCCCAAGAGGAATACGAAGTGAGCCAGATGCAAAGTATATAAGTGGCGCACTCTAACAGAAGCAGGTTATCCTCAGGCCTCTTCATCCTGAAGGGAGTGGGTCAAAGCCACAGTCATGAGGAGACAGCAGAAGACACATGAGAAGCTTGGGTGTGTGCTCCCACTCTCACTGAAGCAGGAGCAGAGGAGCTAAGATTTCAGGGTTCGTGTGTCAGGGTTAAGAAGTCCACTGGCTTTTACAGACATGCTTCAAGGAAAAGGAATCCTGTCCTTAAAGGAGACCTGATCTTCATTCCTTGTTGCCCCGCAGGATGCAGAAGGCTATCAACAGGCTGAGCAGACTTCTGAAACCAGGAGGGTTGATGCTTCTGCGAGATTATGGCCGCTATGACATGGCTCAGCTTCGGTTTAAAAAAGGTATTTTGGGGCACCTGGGTGGCTCAGTCATTCGTCTTCAGCTCAGGTCATGATTCCAGAGTACTGGGATTGAGCCCCACGTCAGGCTCCCTGCTCAGCAGAGGGCTTGCTTCTCTCTCTCCCTCTGCCCCTCCCCTGCTTGCACACCCACTCTGTCAAATAAATGAATGAATGAATGAAATAAAATAAAATTTTAAATGAATAATTATGGCATTTTGCTAGTATAACCAAAACAAGAAGTTTTGCCATTCTGTTAGACTTTGAATCAGTGAAATCGAATAAAAATTCTTGAATTAATAGCTCCATATATAAAGCCACTTAATACATGACAGGGTGGTATGTTTTTGAAGTTTTATATAATTAGATATTGGGGAGATCTTTTAACCAAGACAGCTACTTTTAGAATAGCTACTTTTAGAAAAAGATTTGATTACGTGAATAATTTTAAATGTGGCATGCCAAAAGGTGTCTTTAAAAAATTGAAAGAGGGCAGCCCGGGTGGCTCAGTGGTTTAGTGCTGCCTTCAGCCCAGGGCCTGATCCTGAAGACCTGGGATGGAGTCCCACGTCGGGCTCCCTGCATAGAGCCTGCTTCTCCCTCTGCCTGTGTCTCTGTCTCTGCCCCTCTCCCTCCCTCCCTCCCTCCCTCCCTCCCTCCCTCTCTCCCTCTCTCTCTCTCTTTTTCTCTTGTGAATAAATATATAAAATCTTTTTAAAAATAAAATAAGAAAAGAATTGAAAGATGGGACACCTGAGTGGCTCAGTGGTGGAACGTCTGCTTTTGGCTCAGGACGTGATCCAGAGTCCTGGGATTGAGTTGTGCATCGGGTTCTCTGCTGGAGCCTGCTTCTCCTCCCTCTTCCTACCTCTCTGCCTCTCTCTGTGTGTCTCTCATGAATAAATAAGTAAATTCTTTTAATAAATAAATAATTGAAAGACAAATTTTGGTGCCTGGAACAGATAAAGACTTAATTATTATTTGTGTTCTTCAAGGCCCTGTTGGCAAATTGATAAGCAGATCAATAACCCACCCAAAAAAACGGGAAAGGGAAATTTTAGAGTTGATTCACTGAAGGGCAAATCCAAATGGCCAAAAACAAACTTCAAGGTAACAAAGCCTACAGTGAGATAACCACTTCTTAAACCTACTGCTGGCCAGTTCAAAGAAGGAGATATACTTCTCCATTACTGGTAGAAATAACAAGTTAGTGGTGTTTGGGGCTTGGGGTTTTTTATTTTAAGCACACTGGTGTTCTCTACCCAGTCTTTTAACTCTTTTGGGAGTTACTCAAGACCTAGCATGTACTATGTGTGCCAAAATTTTGGGAACAAAATGAATGCCTCTGGAGAGGGTAACACTGCCTGCCACTTGAGGTAGACCCCATCCATACCAGTAGTCTTGGAGGGATTTCCATTCTGCATTCCCGATGAGAAAATCAGTGTGCAGATGTGTATTTTAAACTTGGTCGCACAAATAAGAGTAGCTGGGGAGAACTAAGCAAAGCAAGTAAGATATTGACATTCCAAAGGTGTAGAAGGATTACATACTGGGTTGGTGAATTGGCATTATGTCAGAGGGCTTGGCAGCTAAAGGGAGAGCATCCATGATAGAAACAGCAGAAGTGTTGTATTGTGAATGTGCGTGGACACGTGCAGAGACATGGGACATGGTCATGGCGGCTATCTCAGGTTTCCTTTCCGTAAGTTTCACTATGGTCCCTGGCTTTTAGTTATTTATTTTTGTTTTACAAAGAGTACATGGTGTTTATTTAATGAGGGAGGGGAAAGAACACTGTTGTCAACCTGAAACTGCTCTCGAACAGAAGGCTGAGAATGTGTGATCTAAGTCTGAAATTGGATCACGCCACCCCTCTCCAAAGCGCCGTTCCTTTGTAGGAGGGAAATGACAGAGTCCTACAAAGCGCCCACAGTAACCAAGACAGGAGTCTGTTCTCTAAGAAATCGGTATCATGATGCACATTTGATTGGCAGTGAAATTCAAAGAAGTGCTTTCAAGTTTGATTTTTATCACATCGCTCCACAGGTCAGTGTCTGTCTGAAAATTTCTATGTGAGAGGTGATGGTACTAGAGTTTACTTCTTCACACAAGGTAGGAAGACGTTCCTCTTTACATATGTCGGTGGTCCCCAAAACCCCAGCTGCAGTGCTGCTCTGTGTCCTCGACATACAGCTGTTGAGCCCCTCCTACCTTTTGCAGCCTTTTCCTGCCCTTGGTGGCCCAGGGCCCATTGTCCAAGCAGGCTCCACTTTGGTCTCCACCTTGCCCTTCTGTTGTGTGCTCTTCCTCCCTGTCACTTTGTCCAGAACGTGGGGAGCCTACCCCATTTTGCAAGATTTTAATGCAGTTGGCTTCACCCTGAGGCTGGGTTCTCCCAGGGTCCAGGTGTAACCCTGAATTGCTCTCCACAGTTTGCCCTGGTCATGTGTTCAGTGTCGTCCTGGGGCCCTTTATTGTGTCACATACTTTCTTAAGCTTTCAGTTAACGTGGTGGAACCTCTCCCCTAAAAAAGTGACTGTGAAGTTAACATTTTTGTAGATTTTTGCATGTCATCTTCAGGTGTCCATAAAGCCCTTCTGGAAAATACCCCCCCATCAGCTGACTTATTAGGCTCTCTCTCTGGACACCAAGCTGCCCTTCCCAGATAGTTTGGCTTCCTCTGTGTAAATACGAATTTGCTATTACCAAGCTGCTACTGTGCTTATAAACAAACAGTCCGGCTAAAGCCACTTAAAATAGATAAATAAAAACTGTCTCACAGTGGCCCTTTCAACATAGGAAGTGGTAGGCAATGTTTTTTCTTCAGCAGAAAATATATAAACATCTCTTTCCCAAACCAGATGAGCTGGATACACTTTTCACTACTGCTGGACTGGAAAAGGTTCAGAACCTGGTGGATCGCCGATTGCAAGTGAACCGAGGGAAACAGCTGACAATGTACCGCGTTTGGATTCAGTGCAAATACCGCAAGCCTCTCCTGTCCAGCACTGGCTAAGAGGCACCTCCTCCTGCCATGATAGGAGTTCTTGGGAGTTTTTTAAAAAGAACATTTCACGAATGGTGTCTTGTTGATGTTGGGAAGTTCAAGGATTCAGACTTGAGCATTGAACCTAGAACAGGTTGCTTTTTATCAAGTTTCTAATAATTGTCCTTCATATTTGTGAAGTCCTTTTATATATACTTTCCTCAAGGTTGTTGGGCTGCTTTGGTTTTGGGTTTTTTTTGTAGGCTCTGTGCCCGGCATGGAGCCCACCTCCAAGCTTGAACTCACAACCCTGAGATCAAGAGTTGGATGCTTAACCAACTGAGCTACCCAGGCACCTCCTCCTCCTTAAGTTTCTTTCTTACTTTGAGATCTCAAAGAATCTTGGCATTTTGTAATTAATCATAACAAATTTTCCTAAGAATCGTGAATTTAAAGGCATCAAGAATTTATTATATATGAACATAATAAAGAAGTATTATGTATGATAAAGTGTCATTTGACTGGGAGTTACATTAAATTATTTCGGAGTTCAAATACCTAAGCGAGGCAGTTGATACATTCAAGGGTAAATAAAAGCGTTGTTCAGCGAGAGACACATGAAGAACAATCATCTTTCTTTGGATATTTTCCTGACTCAAAAATACTACTTTAGGGTGGCCCAGGTGGCTCAGCGGTTTAGCACTGCCTTCAGCCCAGGGCCTGATCCTAGAGTCCTGGGAAAGATCTTGATTTTTGCAAAATTCTCTCTCTCTCTCTTTTTTTGTGCCCTTAAATGTTTGACACAAAAGGAACTGAGAGAACTTTATTTTAGCCACATGACCAAATGAATGATAGAAGTGAGCATTGGCAGTATTACTTTCTTTATGTTCTGCTTTTTTTAAATTACGACTTTTACCTGAGCTGAAATCAAGAGTTGGATATTTAACCAAATGTGCCACGCAGGTGCCCCTAAAAAATTTCAAATTAAAGAAAAGTACCAATTACCAAGACTGTTGCAGGAATAGTCCTTTTTTTTCTGAGTAATTTTTTTTTTTTAAGATTTTATTTATTTATTCATGAGAGACAGAGAGAGGCAGAGACACAGGCAGAGGGAGAAGCAGGCTCCATACAGGAAGCCGGACGTGGGACTCGATCCCGCACCTCCAGGCTCACACCCTGGACTGAAGGCAGTGCTACACCGCTGAGTCACCCGGGCTGCCCTTTCTGAGTAATTTTTAAGAGTGGGTTGTAAGGTTATGTCCCGACACTCCCACATATTTTAGTGTATAATTCCTATAACTGAATATGTTCTGTATCACCAAATAAATCCATCAGGAGTAAAAACCTGAAAACGCTACCACCCGCAGATTTTCCCAACGTCCCCAATAATATCTTCTACCACCAGAGAAAAGTTGCACTTAGTAGTCATGTCTCAATCTCCTGCTCTCTGGAACAATCCAGGCTTATTTTAATGACCTTGACATTTGAAGATTCCAGGCTATTTTGCAGACTGTCCCTCAATTTGGGTTCCTTGATGCTTTCTCATGATTTGGTTCAGGTTACACATTTCTGGCAGGAACATCAAGTGGAGCTTTGCCCTTCCTTGTTACATCCTATCAGGATAATGTTTTGAATTCCTGTTACTGATGATGTTAACCTTGATCACTTACCTGAAGTGGTATCTGCTGGGTTTCTCCACTGAAAAGTTACTAATAAGCATCTTGTGGGATTGTGCTTTGAAATCGGATAAAAACCCATTCCTCATCAAACTCCAGCCCCTAATTTGGTATCTGTGATGCAGTTTCTTGGCTGAACTACTGCTATGATGGTAGCCTGAGAGGGTTTCCTAATCCCTCCATTCTTTCTATATTATTGGTTGCCATTCTATAGGGAAAGCTTTCTTTTTTCTATTTTATGTAACGTGGACTCAGACTTCTGTTTTATTAAATGATGATTGTATATACTATCGTTATTTTGGTGCTCATATTACTCCAGATTTGGCCAGTGGGGGCCTCT